CTTAAAGCAATACTATGATGTCTTATAAGTTCTTTTTCCAATTGAAGAGATTTAGGATTTCATTTGAGTGACTATATTTCCTTTAATAGATATTGAAGGCATATATCAAAATAATTGTAAAAGCCAATAGTTTTATGACTGAACAAGATAAGATGCATGATTTATTAAAAATATAATTTATTCAATAGCTGGGCATGGTGGTGCACGCCTTTAATCCCAGCACTCGGAAGGCAGAGGCAGGCGGATCTCTGTGAGTTCAAGGCCAGCCTGGTCTACATAGTGAGTTCCAGGACAGCTGGAGCTACAGGGAGACCCTGTCTCAAAAAGACATATATATTTAATCCCAGCATTTGGGAGGCAGAGGCAGTGTGTGTATAATTTATTCAAGGCCAGCCTGGTGTACATACTGAGTTCCAGGCCAGTTGGGGCTAAAGGGAGACAGGGTCAATATATATATATATAATTCATACAAATCTAAAAACTAAAAATGGTAGAAATTCTATTTGCTAGGCAGAAATTATTAGAAAACAATCTAGATGTAGATGAAATTTAAAAGCAAAATTGCTATGCAATTGAAGCATCCCTTCAAGGAGAGCAGATCTAATATACTATTGTGTAGACTAAACTAGTAAAAGGAAAAGAAGTATGTAATTTGGGAAAATGCTTTTAAAATTTTAGAAGTATTCACTTAAATGGCATTCTGTGATATTTCTTATTTTATGGAGAATGATTAAGGATTTATTATATACAAGAAGGCCTGTAGTTGATTATCTTTTGAGTAAGAAAACATATGAAATTAATTCCAGGTGTGGGCTGGGCTGGCCTTGTGTTCATACAGCCAGTGGAGTCCAGCACAGAACTGTTGCTGATTGCCTGGACACAGGAAGGAAGTTAAGAAGCAGATGAGGAAGAAGGGCAGAGGAAATCCCCTTACATTAATATCCACATGATGAAACAATTCCACCACCAGTGGTTACTCAAGCCAGCGTCTCAAACTAAAACGAAGCACTCACCAGCATGGATCCATATTCTTCAATTTTCGTTGTTTCCTGGATTTATACTAATGTTCTATCTAATATATTTTCTTCATTGTTATAAATAGAGATGAAAACAAAGAGAATGACCCTGGACTTTGAAGAAACATCTGGGCTTCTATGTAAACATCCCAGCATCTGTCTGTGTGGTAATCACTTCACCATTCATTTGGCTGGATTCATTTTGTATTTGGACTACCAACAAAGGAACGGAAAAACTAGAAAATAAAGTGGAACAGACTCAAGACTAAGGAATAAAATACAACGTAAATGTGTTTTTGGAACCACGTGCTAATTCTACATAGTTTTAAAGAAAATGACAGTCTTTCAGTGGATTCCACAGCATACAACAGGAAGTGGAGCTGCTCAGCATGACACAACATCTCCTGTCTGGCCGCACTGTGTCCTCCTTTCACTTTCACAGCTTGCTTTGATCTGTTGAAACCACTTGGACTTTCTGAACCTGTCACTGTTTCACGCCAGAAGGCTTTCATTCCTTCCCTGTTCCCCAGGGAATTAACCATGCCTTCCTTAGTGCTGTGCATACTGAAATATGACTGCTCAACTGAGAATTCCTTCAGGGTAAGAAACCACCATATTCGCATCTTGCTATCACATATTCCTTAGGCCATCATGTTAAACAGAAACATCCTCTGTTAGGGCAATTAAGAGGGAAATGAGGGGCTAGAGAGGAGGTGGCTCAGCTCTTAAAAGCACTGGCAGCTCTTGCAGAGGACCTGGGTTCAGTTTCTAGCACTCACATGGTGGCTAATGATCATCATCAGTAGTTCCAGAGGGAGTCTAATCCCTCTTCTGGCCTCTGTGGGCTCAGGCCTGGATATGATGTACATACATACATGCAGGCGGACAGTTGTACACATAAAATTAAAAAAAAAATCTTTAGGGCCTGGAGAGATGGCTCAGTGTTTAAGAACAGTAGCTCCTCTTTCAGAGGACCTGGGTTCAGTTTCCAGCACATGGTAGGACCATCCGTAACTCCAGTTCCAAGGGGATGCCCTCCTCTGGCCTCTGTGCACATTGCATGCACATGGTGCACTTATATACATGCAGGGAAAACACTCATACACATAAAAAATTTCAAAAAAATCTTTAAAAAAAGGAGGCAAAATTCTTGCACAAAGGAAGAAAAGCAATCACTGTTAGCTAGGGGAAATAAGAAACAGGTTAGTAAATTCAGGACCAATTATCCAGTAGGGAAAAGGCAAAATAGCAAAATCCCAGGCAGTGCTGTGGAACTGCTTTTCTTTGTTTTGATCATGAAAGTGAGGGTGGGCAAGAACACAGTGAGCAGCAGCCAGTTCTATTCACTTCAGAGGACTCTAGCCTGAGGCTCCACCTTATGTTAACCATAGCACAGTGAGAAGAGCCACATTGCAGATGAAGTAAAAAGTAGTGATGTGACATCCAGTTTAATTTGGCTCCATTTTGGAGCAGAATTTGGAGACATTTGGGACAGGTTTTACCAAAGTCAAAGAATGATTTATGCCTACAATCCTAGCACTTGAGAGGCTCAGTCACAAAACTAAGTTTGAGGCCAGCCTGGGCCCTAGGACCGAATGGGAAAGGGTTTGGGATTTAATGAAGAGAAGGAGGGTGGTTTTCATGGAAGTGTTTCTGGCTGGCCTGGCTTCTCTTACTGGCTTGGTGGCAGTCATTATGAGGTCACATGCTACCTCACCCAGTCTGCTTTCACATCACTGCCTGGAAGGAAATCTCAGAAACTAGGAACTTAGGGATGGGAAGTCCTGTTCCCTGGTGTCTTCGGTTAGAGTTCACAGCAGTTTTGGCAGCTGGCTTCACTGTGAGTTCTCTGTGGAGAGTGGACAGGTCCAGAAGCCAACATGTGAAAGGTATTTATTGAGCTTAAACAGGCACCCAAATTGCTGCTACACATAGGATATTTAAAAATGTTTCAGTTCTTTTATTTTTACCATAAACTTAACAGTTAAGAAGCAGATGAGGAAGGACAGAGGATATCCTCTTACATAAATATCCACACACCATCAGTGGGTACTCAAACCAGCTTCTCAAACTAAAACGACGCACTCAACAGAAAGCTATGCAAGCCAGCATGGATCCATTTCCTCCAATTTTCGTTATCTTTTAGATTTAAATGAATATTTCTAATTTCTTTTCTTCAGTTTTATGAATAGAAATGAAAAGAAAGAAAATGACCCTGTTCTACCTAGCTAAGAAGTACAAAGGAGGTGCTCGAGGGGTGGCGCAGCAGTTAAGACCACTGGCTGCTCTTGCAGAGGACTGGGGTTCGGTTCCCAGCACCCACATGGCAGCTAATTTAAATTGTCCATAACTCCAGTTCCAGGGGATCTGACACCTTCTGACCTCCATGGGCATTGCATGACACGGGTACACTTACATACAGGCAAGAAAAACACTCATACACATAAAACATAAATAAATAAAAATTAAAAAAATTTAAAAAAAGTACAAAGGGCCTTGGTATGGCTCTGCTTTTATCCCAAAATTTGGGAGACTGAGGAAAGAGGAATGCTGGAATTTAAGGCCAGACTACTACATAATGAGTTCTAGACTAGCCTGGGCTACAGAGTGAGACCTTGTCTCAAATAACATAAAAACAAGCAAAAATTACAAAGGAAAGTATTTCAGTAAAGAATCATTTGATAATGACAAAGTCCTATGGAAGTGCAGTGGCATCTGTGTTGTTGGCTCTAAAAGTTGTGTGTTGTCTTTCTGAAAAATGATGCAAGAAAATAATGATTTCCTTGTGGTTTTCCTTCGTTATCTAGCAAGGTAGACAGCAACATGAAAGCTTAAAAACCAATGAATGTCTGTTTTACTTTTATAATACCACCTTCATCCTTAAAGATTATATGTCCTAGGGCTGGAGAGATGGCTCAGTGGTTAAGAGCACTGAGTGCTCTTGCAGAGGACCCGGGTTCTATTCCCAGCACCCACATGGCAGTTCTGAACCCTCCTTAACTCCAGTTCCAGGGGAATCTGAAGCCCTCTTCTGACCTCTGCAGCACTGCGTGACACGGGTGCACTCACATACATGAGGCAATACACTCATACACATAAAATAAAAATAACAAATAAAATATAAAAAAGGATTATATGTCCTTCTGGAAGTAAATCATAGTGGGGATGGGGGTGGGGTGCACAGAAATGTGAATATATTTAATGCCACTGGATTATAAACTTATTTTTGTTTTATGTGTATGAGTGTTTTGCTTGCATGTATGTAAGTGCACCTGCGCTTGTAATGCCCTTGGAGACCAGAAGAGGCCTCAGATCCCCTGGAACTGGAGTTCAGGGTGGTGGCTAGCTACCATGTGGGTGCTGGAAAATGAACCTGGGTCCTCTGCAAGAGCAGCCAGTGCTCTTAACTGCTGAAGCATCTCTCCAGCATCTGGATTATAAATTTATAATCGCCTAACATGGTGCACTTTATGCCATGTTTGTTGGTTTTTTGGTTTTTTTTTTTTTTTTTTTGTTTTTTTTTTTTTTTTTTTGTTTTTTTTTTTTTTTTTTTGTTTTTTTTTTTTTTTTTTTGAGACAGGGTCTCCCTGTAGCCCCAACTGGCCTGCAACTCACTGTGTAGACCAGGCTGGCCTCAAACTCACAGAGATTCACTTGCCTCTGCCTCCCAAGCACTGGGATCATCACAACAGCTGTTTTTGTTTGTTTTGAGACAGGGTC